GCAGAGGAAGAAGCAGGCTACACTCAGGGAGCCGGATGTGGGACTCGATCCTGGGACTCCGGGATCACACCCTGAATCAAAGGTAGACGCTCAACCGCTGAGCCAGCCAGGTGTCCCTCATTATTTTTTTTTAAGTAAACTCTAAACCAACCGTGGGACTTGGACTCAGGATCCCCAGATCAAGAGTCACATGCTCTACTAACCGAGCTAGGCAGACACCCCTACAATCATTCTTTTTTGAAAGGATCACTTTGATTGCAGTGTGGATGAGGAACAAGTATACCCGGGAGAATAGTAAGGAGACTACTGCATTTATCTAGGAAGGAGATGAAGATAGCTTGAACCAGAGTAGTGGTCTGCATAGATTACAGGGATTGAGAGAGTGGTCCAGGAGGAGTGGCTTGGGTGAATGAAGGGGGCATATTTAAAATGGGAAATCCCGGGGATCCCTGGGTGGCTCAGCGGTTTAGCGTCTGCCTCTGGCCCAGGGCGCAATCCTGGAGTCCCAGGATCGAGTCCCGGGATCGAGTCCCACGTTGGGCTCTGGGCATGGAGCCTGCTCTCCCTCTGCCTGTGTCTCTGCCTCTCTCTCTCTCTCTCTCTCTATCATAAATAAATAAATAAATAAATATTTTAAAAAAAGAAATAATAAAAATTAAAATGGGAAATCCCATAGGAAAAACAGGTTTGGGGAAGTTTCAGGGGTTCACTTTTGGGTGAATTGCATTACATCTGAATGACCTTGAGGCATCCAGGTGGTGACATCCAAGAGGTATTTCTATTATGGGGTTTGGAGCCGAGGAGAGAGATCTAGGCTCAGGTCAGAAGTTGGAAGCTGTGACCTGTAGGGAGTAAGAGGAGATGGGAGAAAATAATGCTGTCCCATGTGGCAGTCTGTATTTCCAAGAATGGCCCACTGCACATGAACTTCTTAGAATATTACTTTGACACTTCTCAAATCAAGAGATGAAGTTCTAGAGCACCTGGGTGGCATAGTTGGTTAAGTGGCTGACTCTGGTTTTTGACTCAGGTTATAATCTTGGGGTCCTGGGATGGAGCCCCAAGTCAGACTCCATGCTCAGTGTGGAGTCTGCTTGGAATTCTCTCTCTGTCCGTCCCCCATGTGCACACTTGCTCTCTCTCTCTCTCTCTCTCTCTCAAATAAATAAATAAAATCTGAAACACCTGGATGGTTCAGTGGTTGAGCATCTGCCTTCAGCTCAGGTCGTGATCCTGGGGTCCTGGGATCAAGTCCTGCATTGGGCTCCCGCAGAGAGCCTGCTTCTCCCTCTGCCTATGTCTCTGCCTTTCTCCCTGTGTTTCTCATGAAAAAATAAATAAAATAAATAAATAAATAAATAAATAAATAAATAAATAAATAAATAAATAAATAAATAAATATTTTTAAAAACGCAATTCTATGTTCCTTCCTTTGGAACTGAGGAGGCTTGTGTTACAGTGGAAGGGATACCATGTGACTTTGTTTTAAACATTTTATTTTTTTTAAGATTTTATTTTTATTTTTTCACGAGAGACAGACAGAGAGAGAGAGAGAGAGAGAGAGAGAGAGAGAGAGGCAAAGACACAGGCAGAAGGAGAAGCAGGCTCCATGCAGGGAGCCCGATGCTGGACTCGATCCTGGGACTCCAGGATCACGCCCTGGGCCAAAGGCAGGCGCTAAACTGCTGAGCCACCCAGGGATCCCCTAAACATTTTATATTTAAGTAATATGTATGCTCAATGCGGGGCTCAAACTTACAACCCCAAGATCAAGAGTCAAATGCTCCACTAACTGAGCAAGGTGCCCTACTATATGACTTTTAAAGCTACATCATAAAAGATGATTCAGCTTCCACTTTACTCCCTGGAGTGCTTGTACTAGAATCCTGAGCTGCTATGCAGGCAGTTTGACTGTCCTGTATCAATCACCTATCACTGTATAACAAATCACCCCCACAACATCCCGGCTCAAAACAATAAACATTTAGTATCTCATACAGTTTCTTTGGGTCAGGAATCTAGAAGCAGCTAAGTTATGTGGTTCTGGCTCAGGATCTCACATGAAGTTCCAGTCAAGATGTTGGTTAAAACTACAGTCATCTGAAGGCTTGACTGATGCTGGAGGATCCAATTCCAGGGTGGATCTCACATGCCTTACAAGTTCATGCTGGTTGTTGGCAAAAGGAATCAGTTCCTTACTAAGTGGTCCATTCCCTAGACTGCCTGAGTGTCCTCATAACATGGCAACTGGCTTCACACAGAGCCAGTGATCTGAGAGGGCACAAGGTAGAAGCCACAATATCTTTATGACTTAGCCATTAAAGCAACACACCATAATTTCTGTATTATCCTATGGGCTCAGGTCAGCCCTGTCTAGCGTAGAAAGAGACTACATAATGAATGAAATGAATACTAGAAAATGGAACTCATTCAGGACAATTTTGAAAGCTGGCTATTGTAGCCTCGAGACTGCATGCTGTGAGGAAGCCCAAACTAGCCCATACAGAAAGACTATATGGATCCTGAGACTACAAAAAAAGAGAAAGAATTGCTAGGTTAGCCCCCAGCTACTTCAAACTCCCATTGTTCCAGCATTAGCCATCATTTGACTGCAACTATGGGAGCCAGCATTCTCAGCCAAAATTCTCTTCCCAAATTCCCAACCTATAAAATCTGTAAGAGAAAATAAAATAAGGGGATCCCTGGGTGGCTCAGCAGTTTAGCGCCTGCCTTTGGCCCAGGGCACAATCCTGGAGTCCCGGGATCGAGTCCCACGTCAGGCTCCCTGCATGGAGCCTGCTTCTCCCTCCTCCTGTGTCTCTGCCTCTCTCTCTCTCTCTCTCTCTCTCTCTAAGTCTATCATAAATAAATCTTTTTTAAAAAAAGAAAAGAAAATGACCATTTTTATTTCAAGCCATTCTTTTTTGTGATGATTTGTTGAACAGCAGTACACCCTCAATGATTCCCACCTTCTGGTATTCACACTACTCTGTATTCTCTTCCAGAACTGACTAGGGCTGATGTGCCCCCACAGGATAATGGAGATGAGACAATGGCCTAAGGCTGCTGTGACAAATTACCACAAACTTAGTCTCTTAAAACAACACAACTTTATTCTCTCATAGTTTTGCAGTTCCGAAGTCTGACAAGTGTCTCACTGGGCTAAAACCAAGATATCAACAGTTCCTTTCCAGACACTTTTGGGCAGAGTCCATTTCTCTGCTTTTTCTAGAGGACACCCAACATTCCTGAGTTCATGACCTCCTTCCTCCATCTTCAAAGCCAACAACATTCCAACCTCTCTATGCCTTTTTTCTGTAGTCCCCTCTCTGATTCCCTTCTTCTAATACCCTTTCTCATTTCGCCCCTCAACCTTTATCATTTTTAAGGATGCTTGTGATTATATTGGATGCACAGGATAATCTGTTTTAAAACCAGCAGATTAGTAATCTTAATTCCATCTGCAATCTTAATTCCTGTTTGCCATGGAGCCAAACATATTCATAGGTCCTTGGGATTAGAACATGGGCATCTTTGGAAGCCATTATTCTGTTGACCATGCTCCCTGGAAGAAGAGTGGGTCTGAGAAGGAACAGCCAGAGAGACAGGAGAGCCAGCAGGAGAGTGAAATATCACAGAATCCAGAGAAAGTTCCTGGGCAGGAGTGCTCAATAGTGACTAATACTGTTGATAGGCCAAGCATGATAAGCACTCAAAAATATCCATGGGAGGGGTACTTGGCCGCTCAGTAGGAAGAATATAAGACTCTTGATCTCGGGTTTGTGAATCTGAGCTCCATATTGGATGCAGAAATTACTATACACACACACACACACACACATCCATTGGATTTAGCATTCTCATGACATCAGCTATTAGTTGTCAGGGAAGAGTTTGGGGGCAGGAACTAACTTATGGTGTGGTGGGCAGCAAGGAAGAAGTGAGTAAGTACAAAGTAGAAGTGTAAAATCTTCCCTAAAACTTGACTGTGAAGGGAGATTTGTTACTGTTTCTAAAATGAGGAAAGAGAAGCAAGTTCCAATGTAGAGGAGAAGGAAGGAGAGGTATAGGAGAGGTATAGGAGAGATGATAATCATCATCATTAGACGTGATGTCTGCAAGGGAAAGAGTGCAGCTAACCCAAGGAAGGCCTGGAAGAGAGGTATCCTTGGGTCGATCTAGGCTCAGGTTTGCCAGGCTGGCACGACAGTAGAACAGAAGTTAGGATAATGTCTGGGATGCCTGGGTGGCTCAGCAGTTGAGCGTCTGCCTTTGGCTCAGGTCATAATCCCGCCATCCCAGGATCAGACTCCTTGCTTGGAGCCTGCTTCTCCTTCTGCCTCTCTCCGTGTGTCTCTCATGAATAAGTAAATAAAATATTCTTAAAAAGAAAAAAGAAGTTAGGATAATGTCAAGAGTGTGGCGGTGGTAATGGACCTGGGAATTTAAGGGTGAGAGAAGTAGTGGAAGGAGAGGAGGGAGAGGAGGGGGGAGAGGGAGGGAGGGAGATTGGCCTGCAGGTGGCGCTGATGAGGCAGGAGGGAATGGCTGAGCAAGCTATGAGGATTGGAGTATCTGAAATAATAATTTCAGCGAAAATGCTGGTTCTTAATTGGATCGCAGCGTTTTCTGGATTCCCTGATCCCCCGGTCCCTAAGCCTTGGATGTGCCAAGGCTTAAAACAGCTTGGTGTAGCGTAAACGCTAAACTGTCAGCCGCAGTAATAGAATTTTTTAAAACTCGGAGACTCCATTTCCCTTGAGGCACTGCGGCCGCTCCGACTACAAGTCCCATCATGCCAGACAGGCCGCGTGCGCCGAAATTCCCTGGTCCCCCAATCTGGTTTTCCACTCCCAGCATTCCTCCCTGTTTTCCTACCCTGCCCGCACGCCTAAACGGGTTGCCGGAACAACCAATTGGGTCAAGGAGTGCAAGGCCAGGCAGGCCAATCGCCTCGCCGGAGGGGCGGGAGAAGGCGTGGCCACATCCTGGCCCCGCCCCTGCTCCGTGGCTCGTTCCCTGCGGACTAGCGCCTCGGGCGTGACCAGGAGACATGAGCGCTAGCTGGGGGAACCCGGGATGGGTGAGGCTCGCGCTGTGCCTCGCGGGCTTAGTGCTCTCCCTGTACGCGCTGCACGTGAAGGCGGCGCGCGCCCGGGACCGGGATTACCGTGCGCTCTGCGACGTGGGCACCGCCATCAGCTGTTCGCGCGTTTTCTCCTCCAGGTGCGCGCGGGAGTGCAAGGCTTGGGGGAACCGTGCTGCTCGGCTGGGCGGCCAGGTTGCCAACCGCTTCTGGAGCCTGGGATCGGGATGCCCCGTGAGCGGACGCGTGGGGGCGGGGCTGCTTGAAGGGTAGTTGCCTGGTGATGGAAGTGTGGGGCCTGGGGTGAGGGGGGTGTAGACAGTGTTGTTGGGCACTGGGTTTATTCCGGGGAGTAGCACGTAGATCCTGATAACAAGGAATAAGGGTAACCGGGTAGAAGAGGGAATGGAATAGCGTAGAGCGACTGATGATGGTCTTGAGGATGGCTGTGACTGGGGATAAGGGCTGGGCTGGCTATGCATGAGGGCCTGGGGTGGGTCGAATACAAAGGGAGGAGTGGGCGGACAGGGAGCTGGAGATTTAGAGGTCCAGGACGGAGAGATTCTGCACTGTATGCCCAGTCTCTGGTAACTCTGTAAAAGCAAGGTCAACTTTCTATCTAACTTGCCATCTTAAGAATTATTAAAGGTCGGGATCCCTGGGTGGCGCAGCGGATTAGCGCCTGCCTTTGGCCCAGGGCGCGATCCTGGAGACCCTGGATCGAATCCCACGTCGGGCTCCCGGTGCATGGAGCCTGCTTCTCCCTCTGCCTGTGTCTCTGCCTCTCTCTCTCTCTCTGTGACTATCATAAATAAATAAAAGTTAAAAAAAAAAGAATTATTAAAGGTCTAGGATGCAAAGAGGGGCGTGTATGGTGGAGCCATGGCCAGGCTGGCCTGGCCTGGAGGTAGGGGAGGACAGGAGTGACATGGAATCCTGATCTGGCCAAAGGGAGGCTAGCGAGGAGGTCATTGACCGTTGGACTCTGGAGGGCATGGGGAGGGAAGGGGGAAGTACAGCCTAGGTGGCTTTTAGAAAATCACCCCTCCAGGACAGGGCCAAGGCACTGGGTTACCACTCCTCACCTGGGCCCTTCCCTCCACCAGGTGGGGCCGGGGCTTTGGACTGGTGGAACAGGTGCTCGGCCAGGACAGCATCCTCAATCAATCCAATAGCATATTCGGTTGCATCTTCTACACTTTACAGCTGTTATTAGGTGAGTGGTCCCGCCCCTTCCCTTTAGGCCCCGCCTCTTCCTGACAGGCCCCCCTCCCCCTTGGCCAGCCCAGCCCAACCCCATCCCTTGCAATCTTGGTGACCCAGATGGCTGAGCACCTGGGGGCAGGAACTAACAAGTCTCACTTGGTTTAGGTATTGTCAAAGCCAGCAGGGCTCTTAAAGGATCCTAAGACTCCACACTTTTGTGGAAAAGACTCCGTAGTTACTCTCTGAGGGGACTCCAAGGACTGCTTCTCTTTCATCTCATGTAGAGCTCAGCAGGAAAATTCACTATTTTGGTTCTAGGGATCATTGAACTGATAGGAGAACAAAGGCCTTCGTGAGGCCCATCAGAGCCTCTCATCTTAGAGACTGTTCCCCAGCAGAGTCTAGGGGGGTACCCTGAAGTCAAAGCAGTGTTCTAGAGGTGGCCAGTCCCTGAAGCCCATGCCTGAGCCTTGTCTGCCTTGCAGGTTGCCTCCGGGCCCGCTGGGCATCTATCCTGCTGGTGCTGAGTTCCCTGGTGTCTCTTATCGGTTCTGTCTACCTGGCCTGGATCCTATTCTTCGTACTCTATGATTTCTGCATCGTTTGCATCACCACCTATGCCATCAATGTGGGCCTGGTTGTGCTCAGCTTCCGGAAGGTCCAGGAGCCGCAGGGCAAGGTCAAGGGGCACTGAGCCCTCACCCAAGCCAGGCTGACCTCATGCTCTGCCAAGGGGGCCATGTCTGGGTCCTTAGAAGAGTCTGCAACCTAACGCCACCATACTCCCACACAAGACAATGGACCAAATGTGCCACACTCTTTTCTCCACCCTAGTGCCTCTGGCTCTGTCCCCAAGGGCTGGTTTCCAAAGTTCCTGCCATCGCCCAAGGAGGGAAGGTTCTGAGCAATAAAATTTCTTAAATAAATTGGCTAAGTCTGAGCCATCTGTCTGCGAGGGACCCTAGTGTTGGGCCTCCCCCCGTCTTGCCTCCTCTGTACTGGAAGCATATGAGTGAGAGGGAGAGTGGAGGACCTACCTGGAAAGGATGGTTAGTCCCTTCTTCAGCGTGTATAGTCAGTAATAGTTGGTGTACCATCAGCCCCACCCCTAAGAAACAGGCTGGCAGCTCATCCTTGCTGCCCAATGAGAGCCAGAGTTTCTCTTCAGGGACAGCCTGCATGGGCAAACTACTTTTCTACTTCTGTGCATGCTTGCTGGCAAGTTCTTCCTGTGGTCTAACTGTAACCCCTTCAGCTGCCTTATCTATCACCCCAAGTCAGTCTTGGCAGCCCTGGAAGACCAGGGACACATTTTGAGTATTTTTGTTTTATTTTTCCTAATATATACCAAGCACTTAGCCACATGCCAAGGACTGCTTAAGAACATATGTTAACTCATGTAACCCTTATATATCCAATTGTATTATCCCTATCTTGATGAGGAAATGGGGACAGAGAGGGAGGGGATTAGTGGGCTCTCAGGATTTGGATCCACGGGGGCCATCTGGCTCGTGTCTATGTTCTTAACACAGCTGCATCTGTGTTGGGGTCAGGGTTCCCTAGAAGTTTGGGCTGACCTGAGTTAGAAGTTGGAAAGAGAAAAAGAGTGCACCCTGAGTGTTCTTCCCTCCCAACTGAGTCTTCCACCACCTGCAAGAAAGGTGGGAACCACTATAACCCTGGTCTCTGGGAAGGCAGCAGAGAGGTGTTGAGATTCGTCAGTCTCATTGCCAGCAAGTAACAGTGAGCCCCGGCCCTCAATACCCAGCCCTGCACACATGGCCTCTGGGAGTGGGCCTGGGAGAGAGGTGGGAAAGCTGAAATCAAGGGAGTGCCCCTCCCAGTTCCCAGAAGACGGCTTCCATGCTGGGAGCAAGTCTACTCTATGTCAGACTCTGGTCCAAGCCCTTTGACCTTCAACAATTCTGAGTTCACAGACAGGCTAATTGTCCAAGGTCACTCAAGCAGTAAATGGGGGCAGCTAGGATTTGAATCCACAAAATGTGGCCAGGGCTACAGCCCAGAGAGGGGTGGTGAATAGCCCAGGGTAACACAGCCACAGCCCCAGAGCTGGCTGCTGCTCAGGCTCCCTTCCAGGGCTGAGGAAAAGCAAGGACACCTGACTCTGAACCAACTTGGGGGCGGAGCAGAGGTGGAGCTAGGGAAACCCAGGTGGCCTCTCTGAAACCCAGAGCTTAGGCAGCAGAGTGGCCTGGAGCAGCATGAAGCAGAGCTGGGGACCCAGGCTGCTCATCCTGGGAGCAGTGGTCCTCATGAAGGGTGAGCACCCCCATGTTTGTGTGGGTAGGGGAGTGGTGCAGTGGGTGTTCAGGGGCCACCCTCTGCCCCGGCCGCCTCACATCTTGGTGCGTGTGAGGGAGCATGCCAGTGGGGTGGACAGGCTGTCTGTGGTGATGTAACTGTGTCTGGCTGTGTAGCAGGGGAGGTGTATGCGACCACTCATGTCAGAACAGGAGTGACTTTCTTGGGCTAGACTTTAGTCTGTATCTGCAGGGACTGTGCCCGTGTGCGTGTACCCTGTTCCCCTCTCTGCCCCTCCACTTCCAGAATGACCTTTGGCGAGTTCTGGGAGCTCTTTGGCTCCTTTGGCTCCCTGTCTCTCCGTATGTCCCATCTCTCCTGGCCCAGATATTGATATGCCTGTGACGGGAAAGAGGGAAGGCAGGGGATCCTTTAGTAGAGTTTCTGGTGGTTTCTGGAAAAGTGGGGGTGTCTGAGTTGTCAGAACAGGGGTGGGGTGAGTCTCCATCTCCTGGAGCCCTCCCCCACTTGGACGTGACGTCGGCCTCTAATCCTTCCTCTTAGGCATCACAGCTGAAAGCACAATTAAGCTAATGCTCACCACATTTATGGGCCGCCTCCCTGACTCAGTTGCGGGGGCTGGAGTTGGGGGTTCTGAAGCCTGAAGGAGGGTTGGACTGGTCCCAAGCTGAACCCTGGCCCAGGAGTGCTGAGCACAGCTAAGGGAGGAGAATTAATTACTAAGTGTACACTCTGAATAGCTTCCAATAAAAGCTGTTTCTTGACCTCATATATTTTCATTCTGGGAGGGGCCGGTGAGGTAGCTGCACAGTCATAGGCAAGGACCCAGGGCCCGACCCCCAAAACCTATGCCTTCCACCAAGGCTGGGCCAGGCAGGTAAGGCTCCCCCAGGTCTCACCTGTGTCTCTCTCTTCCCAGGTCTTCGAGCAGCTCAGCTTGGTAAGCTCTGGGGACATGGGGCCAAGCCTTTCTTGGGGCTCCGTCTGGCCTGTGGAGAGGGCAGGACAGGCCTTCTGCCAGTCTGATTCGCCCCTCTTCACAGTGTGTGGGCAGCGTGGCCCTGGCCCCCCTGAGCCTCAGGAGGGCATCACGGTACCTGGCGAGTGGTCGTGGCAAGTGAGTGTGAGGAGGCGGGGAGTCCACATCTGCAGCGGATCCCTGGTGGCGGACACCTGGGTCCTCACTGCTGCTCACTGCTTTGAAAAGTGAGTCGTGGCTGGAGTCAGGCAGAGCTTCTGGCTTTTGCCACTGTCCCCCTTTGCATTCAGTGCCTCGGCCTTGTCCCTCCTCTTTCAGGGCAGCAGTGACAGAACTGAACTCCTGGTCGGTTGTCCTGGGTTCTCTGCAACGTGAGGGGCTGAGCCCAGGGGCTGAGGAGGTAGGAGTGACGGCTCTGCAGCTGCCACAGGCCTACAGCCACTACAGCCAGGGCTCAGACCTGGCCCTGCTACAACTTGCCCACCCCACGGCCCACACACCCCTCTGCTTGCCCCAACCTACCCATCGCTTTCCTTTTGGGACCTCCTGCTGGGCCACTGGCTGGGATCAGGACACCAATGGTGGTAAGTACTGGCCCAGACTGAAGCCCAGAGGCCCTATGCTTGCCCAAGGTCACATAGCCTCAGCTGCCAACTGTCCCTCTACTCAATGTCCCTTGGTCTCCCAACCCCCTTTCTTTTGCCAGCTCCCAGGACTCTGCGAAATCTGCGCCTGCGTCTAATCAGCCGCCCCACATGTAACTGTCTCTATAACCAGCTGCACCAGCGTCTGCTGGCCAGCCCAGCTCGGCCTGGGATGCTGTGTGGGGGCGCCCAGCCTGGGGTGCAGGGGCCTTGTCAGGTCTGATGGGGAAGACAAGGGAAGGGAACAGAAGGGGAGGGGGGACCTAGCCCTGGGCTTGGTACTCAATCCATAGGGATGGGTGGCAGTGCGACTGCTAGAGGGTGTCTGCCCATGGCTGGGGCTCAAGTGTCTATCCTTGACTCCTTTGCCTGGCTCCAGGGAGATTCCGGGGGCCCCGTGCTGTGCCGCGAGCCTGACGGATACTGGGTCCAGGCTGGGATCATCAGCTTTGCATCAAGCTGTGCCCAAGAAGACACTCCTGTGCTGCTGACCAACACAGCTGCTTACAGCTCCTGGCTGCAGGCTCAGGCTCAGGGGGCAGTTTTCCTGTCCCAGAACCCAGAGACCCCAGAGATGAGTGATGAGGACAGCTGTGTAGGTATGAGCAGGGCGCGTTAGGAGTGGGACATGTCGGGACACCCAGGCCTGCATAAGGACTTCTGGGCAGCAGACAGAAGCACAGTGAAGCAAGTTTCAGCTCAGAATAGAAAATTGGGACAAAACATTCACGTACTAATTAGGGGGCTTTTAAGGCCCCTTTCAGCCCCTAAGATAGTAACACCCCCATTTAGGGCTGAGAGGCTTAGTTACTTCAGAACTCTGTGCATTTAGAGTTTAGGTGAGAAGAGGGATCTGAGATCTAATTGAAGGTTGTAGGGGTAAGCTGCAAGTTTCCAAGCAGGGGCCCAGTGAGAATGGATAGGGCAGGGCTCCCACTCAGAATTCTAGCATTAAGTGACTAACATGCAAATTTCATGCAAAGTAATTCTTAGGATGGAAGCTGTGTCTTGATGGTAAGAGCAGTACTAGTGAGCCAGAATTCTGGGGCCAGTCCAAGCCTGGAGGGGTACAGACAGATGGGGTAGGAGAATGATGAGCAGGGCCACTCCCATGAGGCTAGACCATCAGGGTTTAAGAGCTTAGGTCTTAGCTTTTGAGTCTCAAGTCAGCAACCAGCCTGTGTTTAATGAGCTAGAAAGTCACTTGACCTCTCTGGAACTTTGGTTATGTCGGTAACGAGGGTAACAAGATCCAGCTTAAAGGATATCGTGGGCAGTGCTTAGCACAGGGCCAGGCATGCAGTAAGCACTTAGCAAGAAGGCAGGTGATGTAATCTGTCTGTTCCAGCCTGTGGATCCTTGAGGAGAGAAGGTCCCCAGGCGGGAGCCCCCTCCCCATGGCCCTGGGATGCCAGGCTGAAGCACCAGGGGAAGCTGGCCTGTGGTGGAGCCCTGGTGTCAGAGGAGGTAGTGCTGACTGCTGCCCACTGCTTCATTGGGTGAGCCATGTCTCTCTTGCCTTTGTGCCCACCCCCGCCCCCTTTCCTGCCCTCACTGGCAGCCCCACCACCCGATGCTGCCTCTACACAGGCGCCAGACTCCAGAGGAATGGACCATAGCACTGGGGACTGGAGCAGAGGAGCGAGGCCTGAAGCAACTCATCCTGCATGGGGCTTATACCCACCCAGAGGGGGGCTACGATGTGGCCCTCCTGTTGCTGGCCCAACCTGTGACACTAGGCCCCAGCCTTCGGCCCCTCTGCCTGCCCTATTCTGACCACCATCTGCCTGACGGGGAACGTGGCTGGGTCCTGGGGCTGCCCCGCCAAGGAGCAGGTATGTAGGACAGGCCCCAGCAGCTGTCCATCCATCCTAGAGGCTGCTGGGGCAGCTGGGTCTTTACCTTCACCCTACAGGCATCAGCTCCCCTCAGACTGTGCCTGTGACCCTCCTGGGACCCAGGGCCTGCAGCCGGCTACATACAACTCCTGGGAGCAACAACATCCCCATTCTGCCAGGGATGGTGTGTACCAGTGTTGTGGGTGAGCCACCCAACTGTGAGGTGAGCCCCAGTCCTCCCAGACCTCACCCCACAGACCCCTGGCATCTTTATCCTGTAACTCACAGACCTTCTGCCAGGCTTGGCCTCCAGGCCTGCCTCTCACTTGAAATCGGGCCTTTCTGCCAGCTGGCTCCCAAGCAGCCAGAGCCTCGGCCCAGCCCCTAGCCCCTTCTGCCCCCACCGCTGCCTAGGGAGAAGAGGAAGTCACCCACTGTCACCTGACCCCTTACAGGGTCTCTCTGGGACACCACTGGTACATGAGGTGAGGGGCACATGGTTCCTGGCTGGGCTACACAGCTTTGGAGATGCCTGCCAAGGCCCGGCAAGGCCCGCAGTCTTCGTGGCACTCCCCGCCTATGAGAGCTGGGTCAGCAGTTTGGACTGGCAGGTCTATTTTGCTGAGGAGCCAGAGCCTGAGACTGAGCCTGGAAGCTGCTTGGCCAACATGAGTACGTGGCCCTAGGGCTTCCCTGCTGACACTTCCCTCTCTAGACCCATCCTCTCTCCATCCAGGGAAAGATCTGTTCTGACCCACCTCTAGATTGCCCTGAGATAGAAGGACAGAATTCTGGTTCTTCATTATTATGACTTGGAGCAGGCCTCTCAACTTCAAACCTCAGTTTTCTCATGTCATGGGGGTTAAGTAGCATCTTCTTCCTCTTCTTCCAGGGAGGGAGGAAAGTTCTGAGGATGAGGCCAACCCCATCCTCCTTCCTCTTCCTGACAGGCAAACCAACTGGCTGTTAACAGGTGGCTCTGGGATACTGCAGACACAGTGAGACAATCCCTGCGTCACTGCCCTTGTCCCTCTCCCACTTCCCCAACCCACATGTGATGCCAGGCACGGGGCAGGCCCAACAGCCCAGGGGGCTCTGGGAAGAAGCCTGCCCAGACCAACTGCTGCCCTCACTCCCTACCCTGCAGGACAGGGAGGTGTCACCTGTGGATGCTCCCCTACACCCAGCTCTGCTGTCCGAGGCAGGCGTCCCCAGCCTTCCCTAGTCTTCATCCCCTCAGATACGATCACACCAGCCACTTACTTTGAAAATTCATTTTTTGGGGGAGGGGGAGCAATTTTCCTTTTTTTTAAAACTTAAATAAATTGTTACAAAATAGACTTTAGAAAATAAGTTACAAATTGTAGTAAAAGGCTCCCCTTCCACAGGCAACATTCCCACCTGTGGCTCTCTGAATGGCCTCTCCCTGGTGTTGGAATCTGGCTGGTGACAGTGGCCCCACATCATGGCAGAGCCTGGCACCGGGTTTCTTGCAGGGCTGGTCATAAGGAAGAGCATAGTGACAAAGAATGGGGAAAGGAAAGCCTTCAAGGACAGGGACATGAGGGATACCTCACCCCCTCCTAATGCAAGCAGCCAGATCTGGGTCCTCTGCACAGTGGGAGAGAATAAGAGATGGGGAAGCCTAACTACTCCTGAGCAAAACATGGAGATCAAGCCTTTCCCTGCAACCTGCCCCCCCTCCCCGCCCGTATTCTGATCTTTGGAGACTTGAAGTTTAGAGGGAGAAGCTGAGGTCTGCAGGCCACTGGGGTGAAGGATCCAGAAGTGAGGTCGTGGGGGTGGGTGGAGGGGGCAATGACAAGTCCCCTCTGCCTGCTGCTGGTGCCTTTGGGGCTCCTGGGGAGAAAGAAAGGAAATCACTGACTCAGGGCAGCAAACCCCACACAGCTTGCACCCCTTGTTCCCTAGCCCCACAGGCCATCCTGACAGCACCCCACGGGGCCCCAGAGGCCTGCATGAGAACTCCTAATTATTTTTCTAGGCCTCACTGACTGGCCTCTCGCTCATTCCCTTGAGGTCACGAGAAATCTTTTATTCTGAAAGCCATCGTGTCAGCACTCTCTCAGGGCCCTCTCACTCACCATCCCCTCCTTCCCTGAGTCCCTGGTCAAAGACCAGCCATCTCAGGGACACCCGCCCTTGGTAGCCACCATAGGGAGGGGTTCTGGGACAAGGCCTACAGATCTCTAGAGGAGGCTGACGGCATGAGCCGAGGGCCCAGGAACAGGCTGAGGAAATAGGCTGCCCCACTCCCCCATAGCTTCCTCCTCCAGCAGGGCTGGGTGGGGTGGCTTTCCATGGAGATTTCCCCTGACAGACGATGGGAGATAGGGGCTAATGCCTGCTGTTGCTACAGCTGGGCCTGGCTTCAAAGAAACAATTATCTGTGACTCAGTCCTCCAGTTAAAGGTGTTGGCGGGAAGGGGGGATGCAGGTAGAAAGAGTGGTTTGGTTGGCTCCTAAAAAGGAGATGCACAGCAGAGAGAAGAAATGGTTCAATAAAGGGGAGAAGAGACAGGGGGCAGTATCAGTAGCAAAGGACCAGAGATCTAGTTTCCAAGCAACGAGGAGGGGGACCAGAGAAAAGATGCAGGGAAGAGGGACGGGAAGCTGGGGGGCTAACCAGTGGCCCAGTTTCCCTGGCCAAGTCAGCACAAAAGGCACAGAGCAGTCTAATCTAGGGGTGCCTCCCACACCCCATTCCTCACTCTTGCTCCCTGCCTCAAGGAAAGAGCACCACCTTTCTCTGGAGATCATTTCTCTCTGGAAATCATTCCTTGACTGGCTGGATCAGGAGTTTCCAGATGTAGTAGCCAGATAGCTGCCTCCTCTCCTCAAACAAAACACCCCTTCTTCTTTGGTTCCTGCCCTGCGGCTGCCTCAGCCTCTGCCCACACCCTACCCCACCCCACAGTTCAGCCCAGCAGGCTGTTCACCTGACCCAGAGGTTCCAACGTCAGTCCTCCCAAGGTGGCATCCTCAAACTGATTTTCTCCATATCCAAGCCGTACCTGCCCCACCCCCTCTAGGAAGTCATGTGACCCTCCCCCCTCACTCCTTGCCGCCCCCACTCTGTGCCCATCTCCTCTGGGACCCTTCCATTTTTTGCCCAAGCCATTCATGCCCCCGTACCAGAGCTGGCCACTGTCCACTCCTCCTGGTGCTGCTGCTGGTGCTGCTGGAAGCTGATTCGGCGGCGGAAGTGGCGGGGACAATGGGGGCAAGTGAAGGGCCCCTCCCGAGGTGCATGGACCCGCCCGTGACCCTCCAGCCGGGCAGCTGTCCGGAAGGCCTTGCCACAGATGCTGCAGCGGTGGCGCTTGGGGTCTGTGTGGGTCCTGCCATGGTTTTTAAGGGACAGCAGGTTAGGTAGAAGTTTGGGGCAGAGGGAGCAGGGGTAGAGTCCAGTGGTGTGAGCCTTCTGATGGTTTAGCAGGCTACCGGCATGGCGGTAGGACCGCCCACACTGGGCACAGCGGAAGGGCCGTTCCTCGTCTTCAGCCACCGTGGACTTTACTCCTTGGCCCCCATTAGCTCTCCCAGCATTCTCTGCTGGGGCTGTGTGGGGTTCTGATGGGGACTTCTGGATTCCCCCTTGGCCAGAGGGATCTGCCTCAGCCTCCACAGTCCCACTGGCAGGACCTCTGGCTTCCTGTGTCTGGGGTGGCACCTGACTGAGGCTGCTGGCATGAGTGTGCAGGTGACTGGCTAGTTCATGATCGGACTGAAAGGCCTTACCACAGTCAGGGCAGGCAAAGGTCTGGGCAGCTATGTGGTTGCAGCTGTGGCTTCTTGTGGCCACAGGATTTGAGACCTCCTTGGAGCAGAGCAGGCAATGGTGGCAGTCTGTCTTGGGGGTGCCATGGCAGTTCAGAGGGCCTTCTGACTGGCAGTACGTCTTGCCACAACAGCTGCAGGAAAAGGGGTGACTCTCTGGCTGGAGCTGAGGTCTATCTCCATTGTCCCAGCTCCCCACAGGACTCAGACTAGGTCCATTGGGCTGGCTGTTGCCAAGGTGGCAAGAACTCTTGGGGATACTGTCCCCTGACTCATCTTCTGGCTTGGTCAGTACATGACCCGGAGGAACCCAACCTTCACCATGATTCACCGGTCCCCCATCTCCTTGCCTCCCTTCCACATTCCCCATGTCCCTGGATACTAGCTCAGTGGGTTCTGAACCTGCTGCCCCAATGGGGCTCTGACTCTGCTCCTCCAGCCTCCCGGGTCTATCCTCCAGCTGGAGAACTGCCTCAGTATCACCTGATCTGTCTTCTAGTCCCTGGCCATTGGCCTGGTTCCCCTCTGGGCCCTCCAGGCCCCTCTGATCCCTTTCAGTCTCTGCTTCATGCTCCCGGAGGTGCCGCTCCAGAGATCCCCGGCCAGGGAAACCCCGGCCACACAGGGCACAGCGCACGGCCATCCGCCGTGACAGCCCTGCTCGCCGCCGCCAGCTCTCTGAGTGCAGCCTCTGGTGGTCCTTCAGGGCCACGCCATTGGAGTAGGTCTTGGGGCAAGTGGGACAGCTGTAGTGACCTGTCTCGTGGCTGCGCCGGTGGTTCAGGAGGCTGCCCGCGTGGCGGTAGGCCCGCCCGCACTGCCCACACCTGAAGGGTCGATCTTCCCGAGTCAGCTTCCGGGTGCCCCCGCTCCCACTTCGCTCAGTGTGGACCCGTTGGTGGCTGGCCAGCTGTTTCCGCAGGCGGAAGGCCTTCCCACATTCACTGCAGCGGAAACGCCGAGGATCTGCATGGATGCGCCGGTGGTTCTTGAGGGACATGAGGTTGGAGAAGCCTTTGGAACAGGCCTGACAGCCAAAGTGGCCAGTCTGGTGGCTCTGCCGGTGATTGATGAGGCTGCCGGCATGCTTGTAGGACCGGCCACACACCTCACAGCTGAAGGGACGCTCTGAGCTGGCCTCAGTCTGGCAGCTCTTCTCTGCCGTCTCCAGCCTCGGCTCTGCCTCACCCCCCTTCACAGAGGCCTCCTCCCACTCCTCCTCTTTCACCTTTGCCTCCTCCTCTGAGGGCTCTGCTTTAAGTTCTTCCTGGAATTTTCCCATGTCTGCCTGCCCCGGTCCTTCTGCCACTTTCGGAGGCTCTCTGCTGCCTCCGGCCTCTGGCACAGGCCCCACCTGGGGCTCAGAGCCTTTGCAGCGTGGGTGGTTTCGCAGATGATTACGGTAGGCAGCCAGGTTGGGGTAGCAGCGGGAGCAGACAGGACAGATGAAGTCTCCAGTCTGGTGGATCTTGCGGTGGTTTACCAGGCTGCCGCCATGGCGATAGGTCTTGCCACACTGATTGCAGCGAAAGGGGCGGGGTTGGGTCTCAGGTGGGCTTTCCCCGCCCTGCAGGCAAACGCTGTCTACAACCATGGCACCTGCTTCCTCTCCAGACTTTGTGTCCCCACCCTCCCCAGAGAGAGAAGCCACTGCTGTGCCCTCAAAGACACAGTCACCATCTGCAATCCTTCCCATGGCATCATCTGACTCTCCTAAGTGGCTGGGAGCTTTGTCTGTGGTGTTCCCAGAACTTTGACTCTGGTGGTGACGCTCCAAGCTCCCCAGGTCATCATAGGTCTGACCACAGCAGCCACAGATGTGCCCATAACCAGCTCCATCCAGTGCCTCCACCTCCCGCTGCAGCTGATTCAACAGCTCTGCTTCCGAGAGCTGCAGCGGAGGGCTCTGGGTGGAGGTTGTCCCTGAGGCTCCTTCCTCTTCCCCCTCCTCCTCGGAGCCCTCAGTCAGACCAGAGGAGTCATGAGCCTGGCGTCGGTGAAGCCTGTAGCCAGCCCGTCCTGGGAAGATCATGCCGCAGAGGCAGCAGAGGAAAGGCTGCGCAGGGGCTGCCTCCCCGGGCCCGTGGTTCTGGAAGTGGCTGCGCAGGGCAGGCAGAGAGTCGAACTCCTTCGGGCAGAGGGAGCATTGATAGATGCCTGGTGGATGGCAGGGCCTATGGCTCAGCAGGCCAGTGGCATGAGGGAAAGAATGCCCACAGTCAGAACACGTGTGGGAGACCTCAGCCTGCCAGGTGGTGACAGCTTCAGGAGTTCGGCGAGGGGAGTTGCACTGGCCAGTGGCTGGTTTCTGGTCTTCATTCACCCCCGTGGCACCATCACAGAAGCGAGTCCCATTGCTCTCCTCATGGCCTGGGATGTCTGAGTTGTCAAGAAAACATGCCTCCTTCCTTTCCAGCCCTTCCTCACTACCGCTGCTCTCTTTATCACCCTGGCTATGGGCCTCAGCCCGCTCAAGCCCACATCTATTTCTTTCGGCTTCAACCTGCAAAGAGCCCCTGTCACTTTCCAAGCTGCCTTCGGCTCCGTTAGGACCTCCACCTGGAGGCTCTTGCAGACTGTCCAGGCCCTCATTGCTTTCCACCAACTCCTGCACCCAGTTCCCGCCTGATGGGAGTTTGGCTTCCCCGCCACTGCCAGCACTGCTAGCCCTCCTCCGGTGCTGCCTGCTCCACCGCCCACTGTGGCGTCGCAAATGGTTCTTCATGGCAGCCATGGTGTGGAAGTGCTTGGCACAGGCCCCGCAACTGAAGTCCCCTGTCTGGTGGGTCTGCCTGTGGTTGATAAGGCTCCCTGAGTGGCGATAGCTCTTCCCACAATCTTGGCAGGCAAATGCCCGAGGAGGGGACACCCTGGTCTCTGTCCTACTGTCTTCCCCTTCCCCATGAGTCCGGCCATGATGTTCAAGGCTCTCAGGGTCTTCAAAGAGCATCCCACAGAGGTTACACATCTGTGGTGCTGTCCTCTCTGCTGCTGGGGAGACACCTGTGGCCTCCTCTTCACGTTTGCACCCATGCCCCTGATCCATATGTGGGGCTGCCTCTGCTTCCACTTGATCAGGAGGGAGCTCTACCTTGAGGTGGCTGGGGGGTCCCTCAGCCCCTGGTCCTGCACTGCGGCGAGCAGCTTTGCAATGGACTCGTACATGGTTGCGCAGGGCCATAAGGTTGGGATACTTGCGGGGACAGAGGGAGCACTGGTATTCTCCAGTCCGATGGCTGTGGCGGTGGTTCACCAGGCTCCCCCGGTGGCGGTAAGCCCGACCACACTCATCGCACTTATAGGGGCGGTGGTCCAGGGTGGTGGTGGGGACTTCTTCCTCTTTGTGAGTTGTATCTGCCAGAGGCAGGGGAGTTGATGGCACTGATGGCTGCCCATCCTCCCCAGCTCCTTGCCGGGGTCTGTGATGAGCCCGCACGTGGTTTTTGAGGGCAGCTGCGTTGAACAACTGCTTGGAACAGATGGAGCAGGGGTAGACACCTGTCTGGTGGCTCTTACGATGGTTGATGAGACTCCCGGCATGGCGGTATGTACGGCCACAGTCCCCACAGCGGAAAGGCCGGTACTCCTCAGGGCCGCAGTCCTCCAGCTCCCCAGAGGTGCTGAGCTCCCTGGAGCAGTTCAGCATCTGTGTACTAGGGAGCTGGTCCTGGCTGCTCTGATCTGTGTGCCCATTGGTTGTGGGCATCCCTTTCTCTTCCCATAGCTGCTCCTGCCTTGCCCCCTCATGGGATTGTTGGTGGTCCAGCAGCTCTCGGGGGAGCCGGAAGGCACGGGGACAGTGGGGACACTGGTAAGGCTGATACTGGGCATGGAGTCGGGAGTGGTTCTTCAGAGCCATTAGGTTAGAGAACTCCTTGAAGCAGATGGCACAAGGGTAGATGCCCAGGGTGTGGCTCTGCCGGTGGTTGGTGAGGCTCCCGGCATGCTTATAAGTCTTGCCACACTGACTGCACTTGTACCGCCGTTCCTCCTCAGCAGGAGGTGGCTGAGCGGGCTCCTGGCCCCCTGTGAAATTCACAACTGATTCAGCCAAATACTGTTCCAAATTGCTAAGGAGGCTGCTGGCTGGGGTTGGCAGCGGGGTGGCTCTCGCAGAATTGGTGGTGGGCCCCCAGCCCTCCGCACCCTCTTCGGAATCTGGCTGGCTTTCCCAGCCTCTTTGTCTGGTGGATGGATCTTCCCTGGGGTCAGGCCCAGAGCCAGATGTCTCTTCAACAGGTTTTTCCTGGCTTGTCCAGCTTTCCCCAGGGCTGAGCCTCTGGTCCCTGGAGTCAGAGGATGTTGTTTCTCCCTGCAGGTGTGGAACAACTTCCTTGGAGCAGGGAGGCCTGCGCCTCCGGTGGCCCTCAGGAGCATGAGTCCTCATGTGGCTCTTGAGGGCCACAGGGTTGGTAAAGTCCTTGCCACAAGTGGTACAAGGGAAAAGGCCAGTCTCGTGGGTCCGCCGATGGTTGACCAAACTCCCTGGGTGACGGTAGCCCCGCCCACACTGCTGACAGCGGTAAGGCCGAGGGATACTGTCTGCCTCCTCACTGTCCTGCTTGGAAGATGGATGGAGCAGCTCTCGGTGCCGGGACAGCTCTGGGAGACTAGGAAAGTGGCGCTGACAGTCAGAGCAGCTGAGTGAGGTGGGTGTGTCCTCCATGGGGCAGTGTGGCAGAAACCTGGAGGTTCAGGAAGAGCAGGCAGGTGGCAACAGCATCTTCCTCTGGTGGTGGGACCAAGGCCTAGGAAGAGGGGGGCAGTGGTCAGAAGGCAGGCCTCAGTTAACTTTGCCTCTTGGCTCTATAAGCAACAAGCTCACAGAGGTCACAGAGATGTTCCCCAAGCAGTAACCCCCGGGACTTGCTTTCTGCTGTATCTAATCTGAAAGCATCATTTAAGGCCTCCTTGCACACAAGCTCCTAGGCCTAATTCATCCCTAGAGATATAGATAAGGAAACGAGTCTAGAGGGATGCAACCTATCTCTGATCACAGTCCTACCTACCTCTGTTCACAGACCAAAATCAAAAAAACCTACTGTCTCTAACCCTCTTTTCTGTATACTTTTGAACCAACCTATCTCCTGAGAGCTCTTCAAAGAAACCTGAACCTTTTCTAGGACCTTCAATATGAGAAGTTCAGTCTTCTCTCCCTGACCCCTCAGCTAAACAGCGCAGCCTAGAGACACTGAAAAGCAGCCTTTTTCTCCAGGTGACAGCTGAGGACCTGAGAAGTAGGGTAGGAGCCCTCTTCAGAGAAAGGGCTGGCTTGTTCCCCAACCTCTTATTCCTTCAGAGTCACTGAAAGACTATGTGAGCCACCTCCTTCACCTACTTGCCCCTGAACCCAAATTATCTTGCACCTTGGAAAATTCCAATCCGTTTCTGGTTGGTCTTCACCCCCTACCGTTTTCCTTCATACACATCCTCACTATATATACCCTTTTCATTTTTTTTCTCCTATCCCCTTTTAAAATACTTATGTTGACATCAACTCACACTAACTGGGCATTACCTGGGCATTACTGGGCATGCGCGGGGTACTGTGCTAAGTAAAGAATATTCTTGTGTCACTTAATCCTCGCAACACACTGCTGCTCCTCTTATCCCAGTTTCACAGGAGCAAACCCAATGACTCCGGCGATCTTCTCTCCGGAGCCCTTACTCTCTCCATAGCAGGCCCCCATGCCCCTTCCATCACCTTGGCCTTCGCGGACTCTGATTCTTCACTCTCATGGGACCCCCTACGCGCATACAACTCAAACCTCCGGATCTAAACCCCCTCACTCAACCTGCTTCCCGACTTCTCACCTCACAAAGCTCCTTTGCTCGAGCCCCTTCTCCTGATCAACCACCAACCAGGTCTTCTCCCCTCACTCATTTCCTCGGCCAATTTCCTCTCAGGACCCCTACCTCGCTCGGGTGGCCCCTTTCCGTTCCCGCCGCGGGTGAGTCCGTTGGGGACCGCGAACGGGAGCGCGCCTGCGCACTGGGACCCTAACTGCAGCCGCGCGCCCCAAGGGGTGGCTGTGGGGGCTCTCGCGCTCCCACACACGCACACTTCGCCAGGGCTCCTGGGAGGCGGGAAGGGATGGAAAGAAGGAAAGGAGAAAAGGGAGAAGGAAGGAGGCAAAGGAAAGAGGGCGCAGCTGGCCGGAGCCAGAGTCTACCCCCAGCTCCGCGGACACTTCCTATTGTTACTAGGAAACAGGAAGTGTCCTAGCCGCAAAAGGTTCCCCCCGAAACCTCTGCCTGGAGAACACTTCCTGTGCCGCCTCCAAGCAGCGCTTCTACACAGACACAGTTCCGGGGCTAAGGGAGAGGGAGCCGAAACGCGACTCTGACCCCGCCCACGAGGGTCAAAGCACCGCGCTGTTTTGCGCTAGTCTTAGCCACACTTCCGGCAAGAGCTGCTAAAATTGTTCCGGTGCATATTGATTCAAAGCAGAAGAGGAAAAAAAGGATTCTGCTGCGCTAGCCTCGGTACTTTAGCGACACTTTTCGTGCGGCTCCCTGAAAAACTTCCCAAGGCAGATGGAGGGAGTTTCATTCACTCCTTGTACTGAGGGAAACGTGGTGGAGTATAAGCGGATTTGGGTACTACAAAGCTTGCGCATGGCCCTTCTGTCCTCCCGCCTTCCAGTTCTTGGTGATCTGGCCCCAAGCTAGCAATGGCCCGGTATATACCGTAAACCTGCCTGGCGTCCCCTGTCATTAGCACCCACAGAAACCCTTGCAAGATGTTTCTCCGCCACCTTCGCCTGCTGTGTTCAGGTAAACTTTGCCTTCCTCCCGGGCGAGAAGAGCTCCCGCCCACTTCCGCTTGCCAGCCCCGCCTCCCCCCCTCCCCCCCCGCTGGGTCCTAGTGCCTGCCTCTCCCTGGCAGTGTCCCGGGCTCCGTCGGCGAGAGCGGCCGCCGCTGACGCCGCGGAGCCAGCCCAAGTTCGTTAAGGTAGGAAATGCCAGTGGGAAGCCGCGGGGACCCCCGGGCCGCCCCAGCCCGGACGCAGTCTGAGAGGCCTCAGTTTCCCTGTGGTTGCAGAGGGCGGATGGGGTTGGCCTGGCGCGAGCAGCGCGGGCGGGGCGGGAGGAGTGCGGCCCCGGGAGGGCGCCGGCGGGCTCCGGCCCAGCGGGTCCTAGAACCCGCCGGCTGTCCCCGCGGGCCGGCTGCTGCGGACGCCAGGGTTCGGCCGGCGCGGCTGCCCGCCTTGCGCGGTGCGGGCCTTGGGGGTCCTAGAGCCCGCCATGTTGCGGGCTTTTGTCCCAGGCGCGCGGGCCGCCTAACCGGGTCCCCGGCGTCTGCGCCACCCCTCCCCGGCCGAGGTCCTGGCCGCCCCTCCCGCGGTCCTAGAGAACGCCATCTTGCAGGCCTTTGTCCAGCGCCCGGCCTTTGGCCCATTCATTTGCTCGTTCTCTTCTTCTTCGTTCGCTTTCTTGACTCGTTCTCCAAGGCAACGTTTTGCTAGCCTTCCGAGACGAGTCAGCCCAGGGCTGTGCCCTGCGGGGCTGTCTAGTGGCGGCGGCGACGTGTGGACAGCTGCAGGGAGCAGGAGGCGCAGGGTTTCTGCAGCCCTAGGCCCCCTCTCAGCGCGTCTCCTAGGCCCTAACGCCCTTCAAAAACTCCCACGTACTTCAGAGACCGCATTTTACTGATGAGAAAACTGAGGCCCAGAACGCCGTGGCACCCTTACCTCTACTGCCTATTAAGTATTCTTGAGGGCACTGGGGAAGGGGGGCATTTGAAGGATGCAAAAGAGTTTCCCCATAGGAGAAGGCCAGCGAGGCTCCGGCGACAAGAGAGAACTGCAGGTGGAGGTGCGTTTAGGTGAGAAAGTTTGAGAATTGAGGCTGGAGCTTAGTTTGCTCTTGGGACGGGAACACTGCTGCGGGAGCTGAGGCTGAAGAAGTGGGTTAGGGTTAGATTGTGAATTGGCCAGTTTGGAGGTCTAGGAGATGATTAGCACTCACTTCTGCATGGTTCACAGTTCCCTATTCACCATCTCAGCAGGTCTCAGGGCTACCTGTGTACACATGGGGAGACCAAGGTGCAGAAGGGATAAAAAGTGATTCCTTTTTCACTTCATGCCAGCTTGCAGGGTCCTAGCCTAAGTTGTCTGGGAATGAAATCAGTGCATCTCTGGCATTTACAGGCTGTTCTGGCAGCAGGCCTGCATCTCCCTTCTAAGCCAGTAGTGAAGCAAAGTCAAGCCTCCCTCACCAGAGCAATGAAGCCACCGTGGGATATTGGGGTGATATTTGGACCTTGTGAACTTGGATCAGCAGAGAAATTCAGCTAATAAATAGTTGTTGACAGATATTCTCACAAACCCCTACTATGGGGGAGGCAGAGGCCATACCACCCCAACCTGAGTTTGAATTCTGTCTCAGAGCTTGATTCATTTACTTTGTTCTGGGGCATTAGCCACAGTTCTAGGTGTAGGGGATACAAAATAATAAAGGTTCCTGGCTCTTTGCCAGCCTAGACTCTGGTGCTGCTGGAGACCAAGAATTAATAATCCAGCCATAAAATGTGTAAGTGCTACCAAAGCAACAATCAGGAGAGAAAGAAGAAGTTTGAGAGCCAGACCACCTGGCTTTGACCATGACCAGTCTTCATTTCTGTGTGCCTCAGTATCCCTGTCTATAAAACGGGGGAAATAATACTGTTTAACTTTGTTCAGGCTAACCATAACAACAACAACAAAACCCCACACAGGCTGAGGGGCTTAAGGAACAGAAATTTATTTCTCACAGTTCTGGAGGCTGGGAAGTCCAAGATCAAGATGCTGGCCAATTTAGCTCCTGGTGAGGAGTCTTTTTCTGGCTTGTAGATGTCCACCTTCTTGTTATGTCCTCACATGGTCTTCTCCATGCATGTGCACCTTCAGTCCATTGGAAATTTCTAGGCAATTGTGAAGGTTAGCTTGAGTAATACAAACAAAATGCATAGAATGATACCTGGCCCATGATAAGCTTGCAAGGAATGTTATCCAGATGAGCACCATAAGAGAGACTAAAGAGGAGGGGACAGTGATGAACAAGGATGCAGATAGCGTTAAGAAAGGTGGTCAGGAAATCCTTCTTTGAGGAGGTGACGGGGCTGAGCCCCAAATGAAATCAAAGAGATAGCTACACAGTGATCCTCCGGAAACAGTGTTTCTGGCAGAGGAAACTACTGGTACAAAGGCCCTGAGGTGGAAAAGAATTTAGCTCTTTTTGGAAGGGAAAGAGAGCCTGTGTAGGTCAGGCCTAGTGAGACCACAAAGAGGAGTGAGAGTGAGGTAGGCAGGAGTTAGAGCCTTGCTGGCCAGGGAAAAGATCCTGGCCTTTGTCCTAGGAGCAGTGGAAAGTCTCCTGAGTTGACTCATAAACCCCAAATGAATACAGACTGGTAGAGAAAGAACCCAGTCCACGCACCTGAAGACTTGGATTTGAGTCTGGGCTTCTTGACTAGCTAGGTGTCCTTGAACAAGTATTGTCCCTTATGGGGGCCTTAATCTCCATATCTGAAAGAGAGGTGTAGTAAAAATGCCTCTCTCAGAGAGGCTTTGTGAAGACCTAAGGATAAGTCTTTGGTTCTTAAGTCTTCTGTGTTGGCTGGCATGACCCCAAGAGTGTATCTGAAGTACAGATTTGTGAATCCAACCCCAGATTCCCTGGATGATTATTCTCATGCGGGGGAGGGGGGTCACACATCTGACTTGGAGAAACATCAGTCTAGGGAGTGATGGGTGGAAGAGCCCTTAGTGAACAATGAAGTGAGCTATTGGTGGGATTTTAATTAGGGCCTCCCCTACGTGGTCCTCTGCTCTTCATGGAGCTGGGCACCTGGTGTGTCCCTTCCTTTCCCTCAGGAAAGTGCTTTAGGAGGAGAGATGTATACCTCTAGCTATCTGGTTTCTGGTTCACAGAGAGAAATACTGAGGCTTGGAGTTTGGAACCCAGGGGTCAAGCCTTCTGAGAGGGAAACAGCAGCATAAAGGGTGCTGGTTCTGGTCTCAAGGCAGTTCCCCGGGAATGAGAGAAGATAAGATGTGGCCTGAACTCAGGGTTCTGGTAAGTGTAGGGCTGGCCCAGGCAGCAGACAAGTGTGGGAAGCCCAGACAGCCAATCAAGAGCCCAGCAACTCAAGGCAAGTTAAGCAGTTGGATTCAAGTCCCAGCTATGAGTCTAGCTTTGTGACCATGGGCTAGTCACTAAACCTCTTAGAACCTCAGTTCATTTGTTCATAAAATGAGGACAAGAACCTCCATCTTAGGAAACTGTGAGAGAATTAAATAATGTAGCAACACACTCAGCAAAGTGTCTGGCTCTAAGAAGACTCCTAATAGTTTAGGGCAGTTATTGATATAACTCACCCAACACTATGAAGTAAGTACTAATATTACTTCCATTTTTCAGATGAGACAATTGAGGTACTATGGCATGAAGTAAATGGCACAAGGTTACAGCTAGGAAGTGAGTGAGACAAGATTGGAAGCCTGGCAGTTTGGCTTCAGAGATGGGACACTTAACCACAAAGCTACATTGTTTCTCTGGGCCTCAGTTTCCTTCTCTGTAAAAAAGGAATATATATAACAGAACTCTCATGGTGTTGACATGAAGTTTGAGTTAATACATATAAAGAGCTTAGGATACAGCCTTTTATTTAGCAAGAGCTCAGTAAATATGAACTATCATTTTTATTAAAGAGAAACTTAACCAGTCAGACTGTCCAGAGATGTCTGGAAAGGAGGTAGTGACTGCCTCCTCCAGAGATAGCGAAGGATCCTCTGGAAACTCTAGGGGGTGGGATCCCTGGGTGGCGCAGCGGTTTGGCGCCTGCCTTTGGCCCAGGGCGCGATCCTGGAGACCCAGGATCGAATCCCACATCGGGCTCCCGGTGCATGGTGCCTGCTTCTCCCTCTGCCTATGTCTCTGCCTCTCTCTCTCTCTCTCTGTGTGTAACTATCATAAAATAAATGAAAAAAAAAAAAAAAAAACTCTAGGGGGTTTCAAGCCCAGGGAAGGTTAAGCCTCATGCCCTTTAACTCACCTTCCAGCCCCAGCATTTAGTAGGAAAAGTGCAGGGGAGGGAACATAAAACAAAACAAAACAAGCTGAGGTTGGAACAGAGTTGTGTGGGATTGGGGCTGAAAAGCATAGAGGAGATGCAGGAAGAGCTTCCTGGGAAAGTGGGGCTCAAAGGAAGGATTGGTGGGATTTGTAATAGACAGGAAGGACCTAAGGGTTTGCATGATGTGATGGAAGTCATGGAAAGTTATTGAGCAGGGGATACATGAAACTTTACGAAGAAGATTCTGGCTGCCTGTATACATAGCATGTATGTGTCTAGGGGCAGAAGACTGATGCTGGGCCACTAGGTAGAAGAGTGCTGATTTTAAAGATGCAGCAGCCCTTGCCACTTACCCCAAGGGCTCCTGTGGGTCATAATTTTGAAGCTACCCACCCCTGAGGTATACAGCTGAGGAAAGAGGTCTAGAAAGGAGCACTAGATTCAGGCCTTCTGCCTCCCAGCCTAGCTTCTGGACACACCTGGCTCCCTCCCCTGCCTCTAGCTGCATCCTTCCCCCTCACCCTGCCCCCCCCCCCCCAGCAGCTGGTGCTGAGCATTCCCTAAGTGGATCTGCCCATAATCCTCTTCTTTTCATCCCCTAGGGAGGATGAGCTGGTGTTAAGACTAATGCATCCATTAATCCTATTTCCTCCCAGCCATGATCCCCAGGAGCAGCTGGGTGGGGGGTGTCTGGGCACTGAATGAGAAAGAAGCGGCTTTAGCTAGAGCAAGTGCCCCAGGAGACCAGGCTAAATCAGATATATTGATTATGACTGAGACACTTCAAACTTCTAGAAATGGCTCAAGCTGCCTTGAGAGTAATGAGCTCCCCATTACCAGAGCTATGGGAGCAGGAGCCCAAGAGCGATGCCAGAGCAGAGGGTGGACCAGGATTCCTGTCTGGGGTGGAGTCCCTTACAGCTGTGCAAGGCCAGAATTCAGTGGGAACAGTTGCTGCCTCTGACTAACCAGAGGGGAAAGACAAAATACATCTGCTGGGGACCTATCACTTCAGACAGACAGTGCCAGTCGCCAGTTAGCCCACTAGCTCTGCCTTCTTCTGGACCTACCTCTGTCTTCCCTGGGCACTTGAGAGCCTTCAGGCCAGACCCGCATCTGGGTAGCCTCTGTGTCTGCAGCCTGTATAGGACCCTGTGCCCTGGCACAGGCCTTAGACCCTGAGCTGAAGGAGGAAGTTGGTGAGATGGATGGAATCTGGGCTGTCTGGGAATGCAACGGGGTTTAGAGCGCCCCTCTGAGGTTACCTGGTCCAACTTCTTTCATCAATGAACAGACCAGGGAGGAAATCCAGTGCAGAGTGTACAAGCCAGGAATGTTTAGAAGGAGGGATATGGCCATCCCTGGCAGGAAATGCAGATAAGACAGAATTTTCCCCCTTTGAGGCCTTAGCAAATTGCAGAGAGATGTGGCTTGTGTCTCACTTTGCTTCTTTCCTAGAGAAGCTCCGCCCATTGAAGCCATGGAGGTGGAGTCTGCGGAGGCCCCGTCCTCTGCCCCTGGCTACAAGCGCTCCGGCCGCCGCTACAAGTGCCTGTCCTGTACTAAGACATTTCCAAATGCGCCCAGGGCAGCGCGACATGCTGCCACACATGGTCCTGCAGACTGCGCGGAGGAGGTGGCGGATGCGATGCTGAAGCCAGAGACAGAACCCAAAGCAGAGGATGCGGGCGGGGACAAGGTGTCAGGTGCATCGGCTAAGCCTCGGCCCTATGCATGCCCGCTGTGCCCCAAGGCCTACAAAACGGCACCCGAGCTGCGCAGTCACGGTCGCAGCCACACTGGCGAAAAGCCCTTCCCTTGCCCTGAGTGTGGCCGCCGCTTCATGCAGCCCGTGTGCCTGCGCGTGCACCTGGCCTCACACGCTGGTGAGCTGCCTTTCCGCTGCGCTCACTGCCCCAAGGCCTACGGCGCGCTCTCCAAGCTCAAGATTCACCAGCGCGGTCACACTGGTGAGCGGCCCTACGCTTGTGCGGACTGCGGCAAGAGCTTCGCCGACCCTTCGGTGTTCCGCAAACACCGGCGCACGCACGCAGGCCTGCGGCCCTACAGCTGTGAGCGCTGCGGCAAGGCCTACGCGGAGCTCAAGGACCTACGCAACCACGAGCGGTGAGAACACCTGAACTGGGGTGACCGGGCCCTGGTGACTGGGGGGGCGGGGAGAGCTGGCCAGTGGGGCGGAGGTGGGGCAAGGCTGCCCTGTGACCAATAGGGCCTGGGGCGGAGCCTCAGTCTCAGCCAATGGGAAGGTGGGTGGGGTGGGGCAGACTGCCTCGGGAGGGAGCTGCTGGGACCTAACTGGCCTGGGTCCCTGGACAGCTGGAGAGGGGGCAGGGCTGGAAGTTGTGCAGCTCAGAGGATCGCTGGTGGAGGCCAGTAGGTGGGAGTGGAGCCTGGCTGTGGTGTGCAGAGCGGGGTCTTCTCTGGGACCTAGGCACCCATCCTGAAGGTTTCCTACTCTGGGGTGCAGCCTCGTGGTCCCCAGGGATGTCAGGATCCCCTGTCCTACCGTGCAGACAGGCAGCAGGGGTCAGGTGATAGGCCTGCCACCTTCACGTCCCGTCCTCCGTACTCCGCAGGTCCCACACGGGTGAGCGCCCCTTCCTCTGCTCAGAGTGTGGGAAGAGCTTCTCCCGCTCATCCTCGCTCACGTGCCACCAGCGCATCCATGCGGCACAGAAGCCCTATCGCTGCCCAGCCTGCGGCAAGGGCTTCACGCAGCTCAGCTCCTACCAGAGCCATGAGCGCACCCACTCCGGCGAGAAGCCCTTCCTGTGCCCACGTTGCGGGCCGCATGTTCTCCGACCCCTCGAGCTTCCGGCGCCACCAGCGGGCCCACGAGGGCGTGAAGCCATACCGCTGCGAGAAGTGCGGCAAAGACTTCCGGCAGCCTGCAGACCTGGCCATGCACCGGCGGGTGCACACGGGTGACCGGCCGTTCAAGTGCCTGCAGTGTGACAAGACGTTTGTGGCGTCTTGGGACCTCAAGCGCCATGCTTTGGTGCACTCAGGCCAGCGGCCCTTCCGCTGTGAGGAGTGCGGTCGAGCCTTTGCCGAGCGAGCCAGCCTCACCAAGCACAGCCGGGTGCACTCAGGTGAGCGCCCCTTCCACTGTAATGCCTGTGGAAAGTCCTTCGTGGTATCTTCAAGCCTGAGGAAGCACGAGCGGACCCATCGAAGTAGTGAGGCTGCAGGGGCTCCCCCGCAACAGGAGCTGGTAGTGGGGCTGGCGCTGCCGGTCAGCGTGGCTGGCGAGGGCTCTGCAGCCCCGGGGGCAGGTGCAGGCCTAGGGGACCCTCCGGCAGGGCTGCTGGGGCTGCCACCGGAATCAGGTGGTGTGATGGCCACCCAGTGGCAAGTGGTGGGCATGACGGTGGAACACGTGGAGTGCCAAGATGCTGGGGTTGGGGAGGCTCCTGGTCCCTTGGGAGGGGCAGGTGAGGTGGGGGGCGAGGAGGTGGATGAGAAGCCACCGCAGTTTGTGTGCCGGGAGTGCAAGGAGACATTCTCCACTCTGACGTTGCTGCGACGGCATGAGCGCTCACACCCAGAGCTCCGGCCCTTTCCCTGCACCCAGTGTGGCAAGAGCTTCTCTGACCGGGCAGGGCTGCGCAAACACAGCCGCACCCATAGCTCTGTGCGCCCCTACACCTGCCCCCACTGCCCCAAGGCCTTCTTGAGTGCCAGCGACCTGCGCAAGCACGAGCGCACCCACCCTGTGTCCATCGGGACCCCCACGCCCCTGGAGCCCCTTGTGGCTTTGCTAGGAATGCCTGAAGAGGGACCAGCTTGAGGCCCATGTCCCCTACACCTCACTCCCAGAAGCCCAGACCTCCTAGGAGGCCTCCTGAACCTCTCTGCCCTAGCTCACTCTTTAGACTCCAGATCCTTGCCCCCCTCCCAGGCCGCTAGCTCTTACTTGCCAACAAAGAGCTGGGGACGATGGAGGCGGGCAGCAGCTGTTGAGAGACACGTGTCACTCTGAGTAACATTCATTAAAGCATTTACTTTGACACTGAATTGTCTTCTGTGTTTCAGTTGGGGGAAAGGGAGTGGGATTTTGGGCATCAGGTAAGGTTCAGTGAGACTGCTGGATTGACAGATTAGAAACTAGAGGGTCTTTGGCTGCAATGTTTCCCAACATATATTTTCAGAATATCTTGACAAAAGGTCCCCTGGTCAGGGAAGTGCAGGAAATTCCCTGTGCCCTTCTTGGGGATTATTGATGATCCAAAGTGTATTAAAGTCACTGATAAGTCCAAAAATGAACAAATCTACTTATCTTTGTTTAGTCCATTGTTATTTCATCATGGAAACCTTTTACTGAGTATTTCTGTCCTTTTACAGATAATACACTGAGGTCCAAAATCAGTACATTTCCTGTATACTGCAGTAATCTACTTGTGGGATAAAAGGGTTCCATTCATAGTGACAACAAAACCCGTAAACGGTGAAGGAATAAATAAACCTTTTAAGAAATATGCAAAACACATATGAAGAAATGTATATCACTAAGTCTTTTTTTTTTTTTTTTTTAGATTTTATTTATTTATTCATGAGAGACACAGAGAGAGGCAGAGACACAGGCAGAGGGAGAAGCAGGCTCCATTCAGGGAGCCTGATGTGGGTCTCCAGGATCATGCCTTTGGCTGATGGCAGCGCTAAACCACTGAGCCACCTGGACTGCCCCTATCACTAAGTCCTAACTGAATGGAGACATACCATGTACCTGAATGGAAAGACTTTATCAAAAAATGTTGATTTTTGGGGTCCCTGGGTGGCTCAGTCAGTTAAGTGTCTGCCTTTGACTTGGGTCATGATCCCAGGGTCTTGGGATCAGGCCCTACATCAGGCTCCCCACTCAGTGGAGAGCCTGCTTCTGCCTCTTTCTCTGCCTGCAGCTCACCCCACTTGTGCTCTCTCACTTTCTCTCTGTCAAATAAATGGGTAGAATCTTTTTTTTAAAAAAGGCAGCCCAGGTAGCTCCCTGCATGGAGCCTGCTTCTCCCTCTACCTGTGTCTCTGCCTCTCTCTCTCTCTCTCTCTCTCTCTCTCTGGGCCTCTCATTAATAAATAAATAAAATCTTTTTTTAAAAAAGGAATTTTAATCCTTAAACTCAGTATCATCCAAAAAGGGTTTTTTTGTGTTTTTTTTTAAAGATTTTTTAATGTTTTTATTTTATTTTTAAAGATTTGATTCATTTATTCATAAAAGACACAGAGAGGCAGAGACACAGGCAGAGGGAGGGGAAGCAGGCTCCATGGAAGGAGCCTGATGTGGGACCCAATCCCAGGAATCTGGGATCACACACTAAGCCAAAGGGTGCCACCCAACCGCTGAGCCACCGAGGTGTCCTTTTTTTTTTTTTTTAATTTTAGAGAGCATGCATGAGTGGGGAGGGGGTAAGAGGGGCAGAGAGAGAGGAGAGAATCTCCAGCAGACTCTGCACTGAGCATGGAGCTCAATCCCACAGCCCTGAGATTGTGATCTGAGCCTAAATCAAGAGTTGAAGGTATAACGGACTAAGCCACCCAGGCACTCCCAAAAAAGTATTTTAACACAACTTGAACACCCAAAATTCGTATGTAATACATTTTTAAGAACAAATGGGGGTGATGTATTTGACATACTAGATAAACACCAACACACTGAAGTTAAAACAGGTTATTATTGGCACAAGAATAAATTAGCCAATGGAGTGGGGGGAAAGATTTAGAAACAGCCTTATTTTGGGGAGTTTATGATAAATATGATTATTCAAATCAGTAGGGGAAAGTAGACTGTTAAATTACAATCTTATCCATTTTCTGGACTGCTACATAACTATTTAAAGATAAAAAGCCCCATATTTAGTGTAAATTGGTACAACCGTTTGGGAAAATGATTTGATCATGTATTAAAAAGTTAAATGCCAAAAAAAAAAAAAAAGTTAAATGCAGGGGATCCCTGGGCGGCTCAGCAGTTTAGCACCTGCCTTTGGCCCAGGGCGTCATCCTGGGGTCCTGAGATCGAGTCTTGCATTGGGCTCCCTGCATGGAGCCTGCTTCTCTCTCTGCCTGCATCTCTGCCTCTCTCTCTTTCTCTCTCTCTGTGTCTCTCATGAATAAATAAAATCTTAAAAAAAAAAGTTAAATGCATATACCCTTTGACTCGGCAAGCACTCGTCAAAGAATTTACACCAGAGTTCTTTTTCCACTTCCATGGCAAAATTGAAGAGAACATTGTTCAGTGCAGCAAAATTTGTGATAACGAGGAATACCCTAAGTGTCCATTAGCAAAGGACTAATGAAGGCTAGCCACTCTAAAATATATTATGCAGCTGTTTAAAAAAAAATGAGACTTATTAACCCATATTGTTGAAAGATACCCCAAAAATATGTCAAGTGAGAAAAATAAGGTGGTTAGTATTCTCCCATCTGGGCCAAATTACACATTAGTAGTCAAATTCCTATAGAGTATCTTTAGAAGAACACTCAATAACTGATTTTGGATTATAAAGCTCAGCCACAAGGTCCTTCCCAATTTGTAAGCCAAAATGAAGCCAAAGGTTAGAGTGAAGCAGATCCTCCTTTCCATGCTCTTATCAGCGCTAGACCAAGGTGGCAGCCTCAGGAAGTGACCAGTGCACAGCCCATCTCCAGGCCCACATGCCAGTCATAGGGGACTTTGCAGCTGGCAGAGTCAGGACTGTTAACACCAGGTGGCTTTCAGGAGCAGAAGTATCAAGGATCTCTCTGATGTCAGGGACTTCACTCAGGGTTGTCATGCCCAGTCCTCAGACGGTAGCTTTAGAAAGTGTTCTTATTCTTGTTCCCCATGGCAGGACAGAGGGCCCACATGGCAAGAGCAGGGACTAGGGTGTCATGGCTGCATGAAGAGACACCAGTTTGTCCAAGGACACTCACTGCCCAAAGCAGGATAAGCACTGACCCCAGGCCTTCTACCTGTCCAGGTTGGACCCAAAGGCTGACTAGAGTCCAGGACAGAAACAGACTGGACTGGGGTATTGGAAACGGGGATTTTGCTAATTAGCAAACTTGCTTTGTGACCTTGAGCAGTGTGATTTATGTCGGGAATGATTAGGAACCTTTTTAAAAGTTGGAATGGAGATACCATATACCCTGATCAACATATACCCATGAGTATCTACAAAGAAGCATGAACCGGGTCCTATGAAATGTTTAGAAGGGGTCCACAGCCTCTGCTCCCTTCATGGGACCAGACAGCGCACCCATCCCTTGGTCCTTCTCTGATACCCCAGACATCCCATACCCCAGCCCCAGTTCCTGCTTTCTAAGGACTCAATCTGACTTTTTAAAAAAATTATTTTAGCAGCTTTATTAAGATATAATTAACATGCCATACAATTAACTCATTTAAATTATCCAACTCAGTGGTTTTTAGTATATTCATGGGATTATGCAACCATCGCAATCTAATTTTAGAATTAGATCCATCACTTGAAAGAAACTCCGTATCCATTAGCTGTCACTACCTATCACCAACCTCCCCCCGCCGCAACTCCTTTCCCTTAGCCCTAGTCAATCACTAATCTACTTTTTCTCTCTCTAGAGTTGCCTCTTGTGGACATTTCATGCAAACAAAATCAAACAATATGTGGTCTTTGTAACCGGCCTCTTTCACTTAGCACGATGTTCTCAAGGTTTAGCCATGCTGTAGCATATGTCAGTACTCCATTCCTCTTCATTGTCAAATAATAGTCCATTGCATGAAGATACATTTTTTTAAATTTATTTTGGGGGGGGCAAAAGAAGGGGGAGAGAGATTTTTTAAAAAGATTTTTTGTTTATTCATGAGAGACAGAGACATAGGCAGAGGGAGAAGCAGGCTCCCTGCGGGGAGCCGGATGTAGGACTTGACCCCAGGACCCCGGGATCACCACCTGAGCCAAAGGCAGATGTTCAACTAGTGAGCCATCCAGGTCACAGAGATAGAATCTTAAGTAGGCTCCACACTCAGCACCTAAGTCTAACAAGAGGCTCGATCTCACCACCCTGAGATCATGACCTGAGCTAAAATCAACAGTTGGCTGCTTAACCAACTTTTACTTTCTGGATGCCCTGTGAAGCACAAATGTTTTTAATTTTGAGATCTTATTTACCTATTTTTTTCTTTTGTTGCTTCTGCTTTGTGAGCCATATGTAAGAAACCATTTCCTAACCCAAGATCATGAAGATTTATGCCTATGTTTTTATTTAAGAGTGTTAGAAACAGGGATCCCTGGGTGGCGCAGCGGTTTGGCGCCTGCCTTTGGCCCAGGGTGCGATCCTGGAGACCCGGGATCGAATCCCACGTCGGGCTCCCAGTGCATGGAGCCTGCTTCTCCCTCTGCCTGTGTCTCTGCCTCTCTCTCTCTCTCTCTCTCTCTCTCTCTCTCTCTCTCTCTGTGACTATCATAAATAAATAAAAAAAATTTTTAAAAAAGAGTGTTAGAAACATTTATAAAGTTTACAATCTAGTTATAAAGTTACAAGCTTAAAAAATTTATAAAAGTTTTGGGGCACTTGGGTGTCTGAGTCAGTTAAGCAGCCAACTCTTGATTTTGGCTCAAGTCGTGATCTCAGAGCCCTGGGATGGAACTCCAGGAGTCAGCTTGAGGATTCTCTCCTTCTCCACCTGTCCCTCCCCACACCCCCTGTGCACACATGCTCTCTCTCTAAAAATAATCTTTTAAAAAATTATAAAATATTTTGTAAACTATAAATGTTTTATAGCTAAAAGCTCTTATGTTTGGGTCTTTGATCCATGTTGAGGTAATGTTTGTATGTGTTTGAGAGGAGTCTGATTTCATTCTTTTGTACATGGATATCCAATTGTCCCAGCACTATTAGTTAAAAAGACTGTTCTTTCTCCATTGAGTGGTCTTGATACCCTTGTTGAAGATAAAGTAACTGCACACATAGTTTATTTCTGGAATCTCAACTATATTCCATGAATCTATCTATCTATCTATCTATCTATCTATCTATCTATCTATCTATCTATCATCTA